AAGGCGGTGGTGCCAACAGTGCTCTGAGCGTCGGTGATATTGAAATCGATCTACTCCAATTGGACTTTGTGTACACTACCTATCGCATGGAACCCAATCTCACCGATCGTGTACGCCTTCCCAAACAACTCTATTTCCACACGTGGTGCCCTCGTCTCATACAAAAGAGCATTTCAGATGATGCTGGTACACTGGAACTGCTTCACAATGCGGACATTCCACGCAGGATGATCCTGTTCTTCACAGATTTGACTCATGGTACACAGCCAGCATTGGCTGGAGGTCAAGCATCGCATTCTTCGAACAGACTGGCCATGATTCATGCAAATCTCAGTCAACTTCGTGTCACTGTCAACGACCAGACGCTCTTTGACAACCCGCTCAAGTTCCAGTGGGATGTGAGTCGTAATACTGAAGGGCAATACTTCTACGATTACAACAAATCCTCCTACCTGCGTGGCTACAATCTGGTTCAAGACTTTTTCGGCAAGACGTATGGAACGCAAATCCCCATCACCGCTGCAGATTACTGCAATCACTACTTTATGGTGCCTATCAACTTGAATCTGGATCGGACCACAGACAATCCAAGATCGAGAGGAAATCTGTCCATCGACTATCAATTTAGCGACGTGACAAACGCCCCCGTGAGGAGACCTAGCGAAAATGGCGCCTCGATCAAAGTCAACCTTCTCTGCATGGACAAGTACTTGTACACCATGAGCAAAGATGAAGGTATCAAAGCCGAAGTTGTATGAATTAATTCCGACCTAGTAGTAAAAGGGCATCATGGAAGGTGGTGACCTGGAGACCAGACATCGTGTCTACGGTGGTGATTTGAAAACATCGAGTCGACAACACGGTGGATTCTTCTGGAAAAAGAGCTTCTGGAAAAACCTAATCGGTGCTGGACCGGATGAGATGGAAAAGCAGATGGCGGAACCCACGACAAAACAAGATGCAATGCAACGCGGTGGACTTGGACCCCTGGCTGCCATGGCAGGAATGACACTTCTTCCCATGCTTTTGGGGAGAGGAGAGTCCGGAGACATTGTGGAAACGCAAATGAAAACAGCTTACAACCCTGCCATGCACCGAGGAGGTCTAGCCATTCCACCAGGATTAGCCGCCAAGGCCATACCACTCCTGACGAACCTGGCTGCTCCCTTGGCCATGGGTACCATGGCATCACTGGGTGACAACGTAATGGATAAAATATTCGGCAGAGGAGTAAGGAAGGGAAGCTCAGCAGGTGCCATGAAGCGCACTAAAAGTCGTCGTCGTCGGCATGCACCGAAGAAGATTCGTCAACGAGCATCTCGAAAAACCAAGAAACCAGCTCGTCAAGTTCGCTCCAAAGGCCGCAGGGCACGAGGAATAAAGAAACAAGGAAGGGTATTGTTCAAAAAACTAGGACATCGTGCCCTCGACGAAGCTTCATCGTTCCTGTCTGCACCTCGTAGATCCCTAACCCGTCCTGAAACTCCATTTGCTCAAAAAATTCGACAGAACATTAACAGTGCAGGACCGTCTTCTATGAGTTCCGCTCACATCGGTCCATCCTACAACATCTGATCATGGACTTTATCTCGCTCCTTGGACAGGAAATCGGGAGGAAGAAAAAGACTAGTCCCGTAAGGAACAACGATGTTCCGACCACGGCCACTGCTCGACACGGGCTGCACATTCCTGGTCTTCAGTTCGAGTCTAAGGATTGGTTCACGGAAATCATTCCTGCTCTGAAATCCTGGGGTCAAAACGTATTGTTTCTGGGACAGAGCAACATGGGTAAATCCTACTTTCTCATCAAGCTCCTGAAACGTGTGCAACCTGAGCGTATAGTTGTCATCTCCAACACGCCGGCCGATCAGTATCGTCTCCCAAGCCTCAAATCCTTCAAGCATTACAGCACCATGCCCGAGTGTATCGAAGACATGGATCTCCAGCCTAACACCTATGTGATCATTGATGACATCAGAGTGATGGGTTTGAAGCACGGCAGTCAAAGAGAGTGTCTCTACAAGTTCTTCACCATGTACAGTCATCATCATAAGTTGAACGTGTTCTTTCTCTCTCAGAGCTTTGATAACATTAAGGACATGAAGATCAATGCAAACTTTATGTATCTATTTCGCTTCACTGATAAAAGCAATATCAAGCGTTATCTCAATACTCTGTTTGGTGGTCTGTGCACGAAGTCATCCATTATCTTTAGATTGTATGAGAAGTTATTGGCGGTGTGTCGCAGACCTATCCTAACCATTGATTGCTCTTCTAATCAGTACTACACGTATTGCGAAGACACTGCATTAAAGGTGACTTTTGAATAAAAACCTCGTTGATGTGCGTGTTTAGCCGAAAAGTTAGCCGAAAAGTTAGCCGAAAAGTTAGCCGAAAAGTTAGCCGAAAAGTTAGCCGAAAAGTTAGCCGAAAAGTTAGCCGAAACATTGAAAAAAAATTCCAATAATGAATAAGAATGGAGCATCTTACGGTGAAATTCTCAAATGGGCTACCGAGCAGTATACAGAGGGTGGGGTCCAGAAAGGGATCCTTCTCGATACCCAAGCGTAAAAGGTTGCAAACCTTGCAGTTTATGTCGAAACATCCTCAACACATCCTCAAGAAGAGAGTAAATTCGTGGGAAGTTCTCGGTATACCACCACTCATGCGGCAAAAAGGAGGTAATAACTACAATACCTACTTGAAAAGCGTCAAGAAAGTTCTTTCCCAAGTGCCAGATCACAGTTTGAGCACCTCCACCCTGTTGGAACTGCAAGCTGATCCGCGAGTAAAGCGTCTATATGACACCCACTTCAAAAACAATCCCGATCACATCAGTTACCCGTCTGTGAGAAATGTGATTGCATCCAACATACTCAACTATGATTCCACTACCGATCAAGTTCGCGATTCCGTTGCAGATGTCAGGAAGAAGAGAAAGGCACCTTTAACATCAGTGCCTTTCAATCTATTACAAGACCACGAATTTGACCGATGGATCCTACAAATCCTGGACAGTTTCCTCCGACATACAAATATACCGGCAACCTTTTTGAAGAGCAACTATTTCACAAGCCGATCACAACTGCTGCAACTCTACGATGAAGATCGACTGAGGTTCAGGAGTCGGGTGGAAGCGGCTGCGGATGCCCTGAAGACGCAGACGATGAACGACTACACTACTCTGGTCAACGAGACGAATCGCATCTACATGTCCAGGTACCCATTTGCAACCATAGCGGGTGCGGTGGGAATCCACAAACATGTCGATGGATTCCTTCGATCAGAACGAAAGATTCATGAACTAGCCACCCTAGTGCTAGCTGTACCAGGATCGCAGCTCAAGTTTCAAGATCTCAACGATATGACTTCTACGTATGGTAGAACAACTGAAGCAAAATTGATCCATCCCGAGCATTTCATGATCAGAGCACAAAAGGTGATGGTGGACGATGCATCATTCATTCAAGAGGTTCTGAAGGATAAAAGCAGGATCACTCGTATCATCAAGGATATCCTGAGTGGACGTTCAATGTGATCATGTGCGCGAAAATTTTCAGGCTATGATCAAGAATGGACTACCCTCTCAGCAGTGCCGACATCAAAGGAAGATTGAATGGTGTTGGAGGGTTCGTGGGCTGCACGAGTTACGACCTCTTGCCACCCTTGAACAATGGAGACTTTTGTATCGTCAACACCGACAACGTTCTACCGGTGTACGATGCACCGGAAGGTGGACATCATTGGTTGACCGTGTGTCGCGAGCAAAACGTGATCCTGGTTTTTGACAGTTTCGGACGCAGTCTATACACTATGGAGCAAGATTACACTGAACCTGCACTGTGCGATTTCTTTAAAGAAGCCTATGCAGACTGTAAGATCATCACCAACACCCAAGCCGTTCAAGACAGAAGCACAGCAGTATGTGGATGGTATGCCATATTGATGGGAAAGCTATTTTCCAAATATGGTCTGGATGAAGCACTTCGAACTTTCCGAAGAGTCTTCGATGAGGATGAAAAGCTGGAAAACGATCAACTGGTTCTCAGTTTAGGTGTCTTGCGAGGTGGTGGAGCCTTGTGGGATACGAAAGTGCAAAAAGCACTTCATGATGGAAGACAGAAGAAGAAGTCGCAGTCCACACCATTCCACACGCAACTGGCTAACGAATTGCACAAACCCAGACGAGTGCATTTCAAAAGACGCAAGGTGAAGAGCAGGTCTGTGGATCACATCTGGAGTGCCGATCTAGTGGATATGCAACGGTTTGCCCGAAGCAACAAGAACTACAAATTCCTGCTGACCGTCATCGATCTGTACAGTCGCTATGCCTGGGCAGTACCCCTGAAAACCAAAACTGGCTCTGCTGTCAGGGATGCATTCGACCTGATCCTGAAAACATCGAACAGGGTACCACAAAAACTATGGGTAGACGAAGGCAAGGAGTTCTACAATGCAACAATGAAGCAATGGGTCAAGGATCACAACATCATCATGTACAGCACCCACAACGAAGGAAAAGCCGTGGTGGTGGAACGCTTCAATAGAACACTGAAAGGCAGAATGTGGCGCCATTTCACGGAGAAAGCTACGACACAGTATCTTGACGTCCTTCCTCAGCTTATGGTCAAGTACAACAGCTCGAAACATCGCAGTATCGGCATGAGTCCCACGAAAGCTTCTCTTGATGGAAAACCAAAAGATGCAGACGCACACTCGAAGCAATCACCAGCAAAATTCAAAGTGGGTGATGATGTGCGTTTGGCTGTAGCTAAACGTCATTTCGAGAAAGGGTACACGCCCAACTGGACAGAGGAAGTGTTCGTGGTAAACGATGTCCTACCCACTGTACCCCACACCTATCGTGTTCAAGACCTGATGGGAGAAGTCATTCAAGGACAGTTCTATGGAGCTGAGCTACAACATGCCAGACACACAGGATTGAGATTCGATAAGGTGTTGAAATACAACAAGAACAGTCGGCTCGTCAAATGGAAGGGTTATCAAGACGAAAAATTCCATACCTGGTTAACAAAGAAGGATGTGAATGATCTCAAAAAGTATTAGCATTTCATATGTACAATGTAGCTCATGCTTTGGATTAACGTGAATATTATGAATCGCATAGTATTTACAATGTATTTCATGAGAAGATATGACATATGCTCTAGTATGTGTGGAAATCCCTCAGTGCTTTGGAATATCCTTGTGTCCGAATGCCAGGGTGTTGATACCATCCTCCAGAATGTAACGCTTACTGTCGAATCCACTGAGGGCAATCTTGCGTAGCTCCTCTCCGTGAATGCAATGTCGTCGACTTCGAAGAACATTCATTGTTCTCTTCAGCTGAGACTCCTCGACGAGACATGTTCGATAATCATCGACGGTTATGGTGTTTTTCAACACGCTTCTCTGCACACCTTTGGCACGCTTGCCATTGTCGTCGTTGTCTTCACAGCGGTATGCGTACATCTTGCTCCGCAAACCAATGAACTCCTTGATGGGTTTGCCACCTAGTTCGTCCTTGAACTTCCCTACCACCTTCTTGTTGACCGTGCTGTACAGGTGGTGGGATGGTGAATAGTTGGATGTGTCATAGGCTGTTATGTTGTTTGACATATCGGTGTACAGATCATCCGTTTGAATATGTACGATCAGACTATCAGTATCAGTGTAGAGCAAACGTACATTTTGTCCATAGCGGGGTAGGAGAACTTCATAGTAAAAGGAATACATCAAGTGCTTCGACAGATCGAGGATGGCTGTACCCACATAAATGGGTTTATTGAGAGTCACCTTTGTCCTGGCAAACTCGATTGCTATCAGATCGTTCTCAAAGGCTACACTGCGGATGTACGAAGGTTTGTTGATGCTTTTCTGGAGACGTGGTTTTTCATCCTGTTCACGAATGAGCTTGATGTTTACTCTGTTTCGAACGTTTTCCATGGTCTTGCCATATACAGCATTGTTCATCAACTACGATAAACAGGCATACAAAGAAAAGACAAGAAAAACAACAATAAGAAAACTGTTATCTTCAGGTCATTCACACTTCCAGTACATACTAGATCCCACACTATCGCTAAATACACACACACACACACACATGATGTGGAGTACCCACCTTATAGAAGTCTTTCTCGAAATCAGAAGTTGATAGCTTTCTCAGGTCAGTATTAGTGTCGATGTATGGCTTCATCCATGGATGTTGTGTGAAGGAGAGCACACGATGCACATCTGTAATCTCCACACCCAAGGACACATACTGCTGCAAGTTTCTGTAGTGCAGAACATAGTGCTCTTTCGGTAGTAGATTTGACACCAGTTTCTTCGCTTCCAAACCGCTCACCTACAAGAGTACAGTATAGATATACACAAACCTTAGAAGATTAATACAAGCATATCCACCAGATAGACCATGACTTACCATTAGTTTCTCTGCCATGTGGGTCTGATATGGAGAAAGCATATCTCGTGTCACCTTCATCTGCTCAGGAGCCAACGGATAGTCATTCATCATGTCATGCACACCATCTGGAATCCTTAAATCGCACTCCACCATGTATCCCGTCGAAGAGTCCATTGGATGATCGAGTACCGTCTCCAGAAGATCATCCGTCACTGCTTCAAAGCAGAAGTCCGACACGGGCAAGGGTTGAGACATGGCCCATCCATATAGATTGTTCGCATCTAAATATTGGATGAAGCTTGACGGCTCGTCTGGATTGTATTCCGATAGATATCTGTTGTTGGCGGTGGCGTGTCTAGCGGACACCATGCTTATGCCACCTCTTTTGCCATGCTCAATGAAGTTGAACATGTCAATGTCGGAAATGAGATGAAGGGACACCTTCGTCATTTTCAGCAGCGAATCCCAGGCAAATCCCGGTAAGGTGAGGTAATTAGCGGGATCCAATCCATAGGTTGCGTGAGCAGTTCTTCTGAAGTTTTCGAAAACGTCAGCCAACAGCAGCACATCAGTCTCCAGGTAGAGGTCGTGATAGTCTCCTAGATCTTCACAGTCAAACGCAGTCCATACTGTTTGTGCATAGGCATAGTCTTCATCACTGATACCCTAGGGAATAGAAAATGTACACCAAAAAGAAAAACAAATCAACGAACTTATTTTAGTAGTTCGCCCACACAATCAATTATTTAGTATGAAGCTGCAGGAAGCGTTCAAACACATTTTGGCTTATTTTAGTACTTCGAAGTAAGATGGTGAAAAAAGAAAGAGAGAAAGATCTACTATATCTATCACACTACTCACCGTGTTCGTTAGCGTTGAGTGGAATGCATCCTTGGGTGGTAGACGCGTTTCTTCGAATTGGTCGTACGACCCCATATATTCATACGGGTAGACACCCTTTCGTGTCAACAGTTTGCGTTCATCCTCGTCTGGAAATCGTGCGGATAGAAGGGTGAATGCATCTGGTGGTGTGGCCGAAACCAACCGGTCTAGGGAGGTGTTCAAGAATGCCAGGCTGTCGATGAACTGGAACTGTCTCCATCCGAATGTGACATATTTTTCACTGTTGATGGGAATCACTTTGATAGCACCGAGACGCTTGGTCTGAGAAGAAAGAAAAAGAGGAGACACAGTTTTAAGGTGCATCTGTAAAGATGAATATCAATCATATAAACATGAATATGAGTACCAACATAGTAATGATCTTCCTTCTTAGAAAAACATCATGATCCACGCACACACACACCACGCATATGTAACGTACCCGTTCTTGTCCTTTCTCGTTCACATACGTAATCTCATCAATGGACGTTCTCCCAATGGCAGATATGATGTGATGAGAATCGTATCCCTTCAAGTTATGAAAGATCACAGGAATCTTGATCTTGAACGGCTCAATCCGCATGTTCAGGTTACAATGGTTGTGTGCTGCACCACGGTAAGCACCGGTGATGTGACAGTGGTCACGTACACGATCGCTACCCAACGCTTCACCACAGATCCAACAGGAGACTACCGTTTCAAATTCACGTTGCTGACTTTCTGAAATGATCATTTGACCAGCATTACATGCTAGAAGCTCATCACGGATAGTCTCCTCCTCTTGCTCAAGTGACAGCAGAAAACAGAACATAGAATCTTCTCCACGGTAGAAGAAACGGTTCGTGACGACGCCATCAGATCGTACTACAATGTACGAACAGGAACAGGCTACATGCTTGTTCTTTTGGAATGTCGAATGACCGATTTTCTTGTCAGCGGACAGAGGTTCTATGAAGGCCTCACAATCGGCATAGATCACCTGCATTTGAGAGAGAGAGAGAGAGAGAGAGAAGTAGGAATAGCAGCAGGGACAACATCGAGTAAAACAGCGGAAAAGACAGATAGAGAATTAGGAATAGCTGCAGAGACAACACCGAGTAAAACAGCAGAAAGGTGAACAATCAGAGTCAAGAAACATGTGCAGGAAAGAAAAGAAATGTGTTCACCTTGATTAAATGTTCTACTTACAAATGGGGCTTGAAGCTGCTTGTTCACATTCCTGAACATCACTCTATCGCCAGCCTTTGGCATCTTCACCGTGGCTTCAGGATGTTCACTGCAGTACATCATATGATTATTCAATGCCTTCTCCGTGACGTGTGTTGAGAGACATCTGAAGCAGACGAAATGTGCTCGACGTGCTCCAGTAGCAACAAGACGACTGAATGATTTTATCCACACCCAGTGCTGCACCTCCACGTCATTGCGTTCGTCTTGGATGAGCAATACATTGATGGCGGACTGCGGATGCTGAGAAATTCTTAACGGATATATGACTTTCTCTTCATATCCGAAGACGTTGATGTAAAGACCGTCGTTCAGTCTTTCGATGACTGGTATGTCTTCCAGTTTTGCTGGAAACTCGATGCCGCTCACATCCACAGTATCCGCATGTTCTGCGTACGACGATTGACGACATGGATGAGACTTGTCTGCCGAAAATTTAGCAGCCAGTATTGACCATCTAAAGTACGGATGACATAAGACATGGACAGGCGTCATACAGTTCAATCCATACACCGTATCACCACACTGAAACCCCACTGCTATACTTACAGTAAACACTTGTTGTCAGTGTTCTGCACGTTAACAATGGCCTTCTTCGACTTCAACTCCGGTGGCAAGGGGATGTACGAACTTCCTCCAAGTACACAGTAGCGTGACATTTCGATGTGTAAACAGGAAATCCGTTCAACTACCCAACCTGATCCATGACGAACGAAATCATCAAGACGAGCGTTGATCTGAGCAATCATCCTACTGAGAAGGTCCCTCAGCTCCATGGTGTTGAGCACCAGCGTTGTACTCGATCGGAAGAAGAATGTGTTGGAAACCATTTGTCCTGTAGCAGGATTCAGCTTCTGCATCACCACCTGAACTATCAAAGAACACTTGTACTGACCCCATTGCTCAATATTCTCTTCAAGAAGCAGCTCCAGCGACGGTAGAACATGAGAGAAAAACTTTAGTACATCTGCAAACTCTTGATCAGGACAATAACTAAAGAATTGCAACAGATCAGATGATCTCACTACATCAAAAGACTGACGAGGTTTCTTCCGAATGGGTTCCATCCTGAGCAGGGGTGGTGGCGGACAACCACACAATGGCTTGACAAGGTACCGAGGATCTATTTTTATAGGGTTTTCGTAATAGTTGAATTCGGAATAACTGGTTGTTTTTCAATTAACCAATCCACTCATCTCCCGCTGGAAACAATTAACCACTTACCGCACTTCCCGCTGAAAACATGTGACCAATTAGCGCACTTCCCGCTGAAATCACATTCATCCTTTTATCGCGCATTGACCCATGTTCCACACTTCACAGTGAAATCAGTGCTGCAATGATGTACTGTGACGTCAATGCATGGATGCATGATCTGTGCATCTGAGGTCAAGATGAATCCGGTATTCCAGCAGCTAAAAGTTCGAGAAAGAATTGTTGTATGTCGAAAAGAATTATACGAGAGGAAAGCTAGAAAAATTCTACACCTCA